CAGGGGGTCAGACCAGATGATCATAATGGTCCCTTCTGACCTTAAAGTCTATGAGTCTATGTTCCATTCTATATACATCCGAAGAAGTGGGCTGTAGTCCACGAAAGCTTATGCTCTAATAAATTTGTTAGTCTCTAAGGTGCCACAAGTACTCCTGTTCTTCTTTTTGAGAGACAAGGTGCATGAGGTAATATCTTTTATTGGACCAACTTCTGTTGCTGAAAGAGACACACTTTCAAGCCACACAGAGTTCTTCTTCAGGTTTCCTGGAACCAACACAGCCACAAAAACACTGCAAACAACAATGAAAGTCCAACTTGACGCAGTAGTTTACCCTCCAAGCTGTGTTTCCTAAGACTATTTCCCCCTATTCCCCAAGTAAAACAAGTATTTGCTTCTCTCTCTTATGCTCTCTGGGAAACAGAGAAAGTAAAGCTGTTAAACAGACAAACAAAACAGTTTTCAGATAAGCACAGACTTGAAGCAAAAATCAACCAATACTGAAATTATCACTGTTGTCGCTATGAGAAGCTTCTCTTCAGACATGGATCCACTCCCAGTTCCTGCTATTACCTTGCACTTCCACTTATGTACTCCAAATTAGCTTTCTGGGAGACTAATGTGCTTCAACTGTTTAACCGTCTTGCTGATTAATCGTTGCCATAGAACTCTGTCCTGAAACGCTTAAGTTTTCTCAGCTGGTTTCTCTCGTGCACATTCTGGAACCTCAAATGGATAACATCCCATATCAGACAGAGCTTCTGGTCTATATCTTCAGGAGTGACGAAAAAGATACTTTAATTATTGTATCATGGGCCAAAAATCTATCATTGTTTAAATTCAGCAGTGCCTTAAATGCTTCAAAGTCAACACCAATAAAAACGTTCCATGCTTCAAAATTATGATCATGACAGGAAAAGAAGCACTTTCGTCCAAAGAAATTACACTGGTCTACAATTTTTGAGAAGTCGTCTGCTTCAGAGATAAAATGTGCTGTTTATTATGTATTTTG